TATCTCATGCTGCACATAGGCTACTATAAAATTTCAAAGCCATTGGACCAACATAACTTGCTGTATCCCAAAATAACAGATGCCATGCCTATTTCTAGCATAATTAGGAAACCTTATTAAAAAGTGTCAAGCAACAGATTTCCCATTTTTCTAGCATCCTTCTAGCATAAGAATAGCACCCATAAAATTTCACCTTCACTGGATCTATAGAAAAATTATGAAAATTCACACAAGATCCATCTATTAATAAAAGGAAATTATATAACTTAAAAACTACACATGCACTAGCTCTAAAATTTTTACCAGAGATTCACATAAGCAATAACAGACTGCCCACAAAATTTCATAATTTTTGGACCACAGAAACTCAAGATAAAATTCAAACAAGTTTGCATGCTTCTAAAAACACATTTCAAACTCCTATTTAATTCATCCAATTTTTCTAAAACAAGTGCTCATATAATATTTTTGTTAAATACTAGACATTATCATGAACTCAACAAAATTGGAACCATAGCATTTGGATCTACCATCTAGGAGATACATATTTTGAATATCAACACAAATATGTGAAATAATACAAACAAAACAAATAAGGAATAAATCAAAGCATTGCTGTTGGGCGGTCCGAAAAACGCGTGACCCTTGAACACGCGTCTTTGGCGCGCCCAAAGACGCGTCGCATGCCCACGCTGGACTCCCGCTTTGAGCATGGCGATCGACGGGAGGGGCCCGCGCGTCGGTGAGACAGAGCGGGAACGGAGGCGGACGACGTGGTGGTTCGTCGCCGGTGGCTTCTCCGGTGGCGCAATGCGGCGCCAACTTGTTCACCTCACCCAAGCGGACCTAGGGAAACCTTCTATTGCAGCTCATCGGCGCCGCTAGCGAGGTGGCGATAGCCACGGCGCGGCGCTTCGGCCATGGCGCACGGCCGCTCCGGCGACGACGATCGGCGTCGCGGCCCAATAGGGCGACCCTACGAGCTACTGACGGTATTCCTAGACCCTAGCATGAGACGGAGGAGCAATGGTAAGGGCGCGAGGAAAGCTGGCGCGCGGAGCGCCAACTCCGGCGAGAGCGACCATGGCGGCGGTGGAAGAAAACCGACGATTGGCCCTTACCGAGGCTCGATTGACACGATTGCACGGTGGTGGATACGGGAGAGGGATCACGGCGAGGCTCGGGGTGAACGAACAACGCGTTTTTTGGTGGCGGCGCGCGCACGACGCACGCGGCGACGTCACGGTTGGCAATGGCGGACGGCTGCGCGGGCTTGGCTGCTGCTGTGAAGGCGCGAGAGAGGGAAATGGCGGCGCGCAGAGAGAGAGGCGAGGCGTGGCTTTCATCTGGAGCTCAAGCACGCGACGTGGAGGCCTCAGCTTATCATGCGCGCCACGCGGCGAGAAGCTCCTGCTCCGGTCGGCCATGACGGTCACTGACCGTTTTCTGAAAATGGCGATTCAGTCATCGATTGATCCGACTGACAGCGAGTATTCCTCGTGTCAACACGGCTAAACCAATGACCCTTATCAAAAACTATGTACATGAAATTTGTAGGTGTACCATCCCTCTACAATTTCTTTTCAAGGACCAACACCTAAATCGTCGTGGATCCGAAGTTACACGAAGCCAAAGTGAGCTTGATGTAACAGAAAATGTAACAACAACTTAGAATATTTTCTAAGTGTGAAATCAGCATGAACTACTGACTTGTGGGCCATGTTTGACCATGTTCCACACATTTTCATGAGTTGGCCATAAAACAACTTTTGTTCCTTGATAAATTTGCTACAACTTTTGTAAAGAGTGCACAGCCATGCAAAGTCTCTAGGTTGCACTTTTTAAACAGTCAAACAATGACACTCCAAGGGTCAATTCAAGTCAAACTTGCACTTGAGGGCATTTTGGTCATTTTGATCTACATGAACAATGTTCCAACAAGTAACCTAAGTATAGTTAAGGTGTAATAGACCATGATCAACCACTTTACAAAAATTGTTATACCACTTCTAATGATCACATGTGATAAAGAAAATAAAACAAGCAATTCATTGATATGTTGCAATGCAATGTTTCACATGTTTCAAGACCTTGTTGCCATTTTTATAATTGCCACATTACTACCATATTGCCATGTTTCCAAGTATGAGAGTTTCTGATACATTCACATGTTTCACTACTACCATTCTAAGCAATCAAGCATGAAACACATACAATTTAAAATGTTGCATATGTATGTTTCAATGATAATGACATGATGACATAGATAATGCACATGCTTATGAAATGACATGCAATTTAGTGGAAGCCTAAACACCTAGGGTGTTACAACTACAATTCACAGTAATGACAAAAGTGAAGGAACAATCAGACAAATAACGCAGCTTCATAGAAAGCAAGGCGAAGCTTGTACTATATTCTCATTCCTGCGCAAGGCAAGTTATTGAGAAGGATGTAAACCGTTTTGTAGTTGTTGTATATTGCGGAACGGCTGGTGATGACAGTGAGGTCAACTTACAAATTACAAGCGGAGTGGTTGATAAGAGTAAGCTCTCGAACAGATGACTAGTAGTAGCTAATTAAAAAGTAAAGACCACGGTACATTTCGTTAAGTGACGAGTAAAACAGTACAACAGGGAAGGGCACCCATCTTGAATGGTTAGTGGTGGCAGCGGAAGTCCCTCCCAGCATAGGAAACAGAAGAACTATCATCCCATATTTAGTCACAAGTGAGTGTTTGGGGTAATGGTAATGAGAACAATTCAGTTTGAGAGTCTCTAGGTCAATGGTGCTCATGTACTGGGCTTTTCTCGTGATTACAAATTAAAATGTTCTCTATTTTTTATGGCCATTCTTTAGTTTCTTTAGATCATTAGGAGAGATCATTTGGCAGAGGCTCGCACCTCTATTAAAGTTTCTTTGTACTAGTATAGTAGTGTGGTAGCCGGTGACAATGAGCATCATATCGGATAACAATGAATTGCGTGGTTGATAATAAATATGCTTACCTCACGAAGTTAAGACGGACACCAGGCAAGGACTATGCATTGTGACGTACAGCTAAAACGACCTGTAATGCAATATTATTACACGCTGACGCAAGTCAATGCATTTGGAATATACAATGCCCTAAATACGGGAAAGCTATCGCCAGCTGCAGTCTGTATACTGGACCACGAACAATTAGTTTTTCTTTTTTCAATTTCTCTGTGTGCTCAAACAAAAAAATTCCCACCACGAACAAAAAATTCAGACCTCTAGGGCGAAGACCTGGCTGGAGGCCGGTCCTCTACAGGGATTCTCCCCGAGCAAGGAAATTACAAGCTTCGCAGCAATCACCTGCCAGCAAAGCATAATAACGGCCTCATACCAGTCAAAGGTAGCTCAGCATACAAATCGGCCTCCCTATCGCCACCGGCTGCCAACAGCGCGCCGCGGCCGTGCGCAGCACCAGTCAGCACAACCAAACGCCAACGCCACCAAGCCGGGAGAGACGTACCTACAATGGCACCACCGCGCCGCGTGTACCCGCGCGACCGCGCCTACTTCTTCCTGCTGCTCGCGCTGCTTCTCTTCTGCCCTGTGCGCGAAGAGCGGCTGCGCAGTCCCAGCCGGGCGGATGAGCGCGCAGCTGCTGCTCTAGATCAAGAGCGCGTGGGGCAACCCGCCAGTGCTCGCGCGATGGAAGAACGCCTCATCCCGGGCGCGCCATGCACCTGGACATTCGTTGGGTGCCACACGGGCGGGCGCGTCACCAACCTCACGCTTCGGTAGCGCCCGGCGTGGCGGGCCTTCCCGGACGCCGTCGGCGCTTCGCCCTGACCTACCTCGACGTCTCCAACAACAGCATCTCCGGCGTGTTTCCGACCACGCCTACTGCTGCACTTCGCTCCGGTACCTCGACCTATCCCAAAACAACTTCACTGGTAAGCTGCCCGCGGACATCGGCCGCCTAGGGGAGAACCTGACCACGCTGCTCCTATACGGGAACGGATTCAACGGCAACATCCCGGCGAGTCTCGGCGCGCTGACAAGGCTTCGGACCCTGTGGCCAAGGTTTTCATTTTCGGAAATTAAAATTTATCGGGGTCACAGATAAAAAGGATAAACAGGATATATCGGAAATATCGGACCAAATTCAAATAAAATTTAATTTGAATTTAAGTAAATTGAAATAAATTTAAACAAAATTTGTACGAAAAAAATAGATATTTTCTTATCGGCACCTATGGATAAAAAGGATATATCGAAAATATCGGGAGATTTCGGCCGATAAATTTTTCCCTGCCTGTGGCTGAACCAGTTGAACGGCTCTATCCGGGCAGGCCGCGCAAACTGCCCAACTCTGCGATACGTGGCTCTAGATGATAACAATCTCTCCGGAGATGTTCCAGAAGATTTGTGGATGGCACCGCAGCTTTATTACTTGTCACTACAGAGTAACCAGCTCACCGGGAGTCTTCAGTGGCACCTTATGTTCGTGATGCTTAGATCAGTTGCGCTCAAGAAACTCACGACCGACAACAACCAGTTCTCCGGCCCAATACCAGGCAGTTTTGGTGATGGGAGTAAAATTCATGAGTAGTTCTTCGACTTGGTAATGATGTCATCTAGATTCCTCTGTTCTCAAAATTATATTTTTGGATCAAAGAAATTTGGTATCGGGTCTTATCTAGATCCAAGTTCCATCTGAATCACTGCTATGCCAATGGGAAACCACGCAGTAATCCAGGAAATTAGAAGCTTCCCAGCAAAGCATAACGGGCTCATACCAGTCAAAGGTAGCTCAAAGTACAAAATCACGAGTTCAAGCCGTCTGATTAATCCTGATTCGTTATCTTAGTCGGTATTCTAAACTCGTCTTGGAGCTACGACTTAATTAGACCGATAAGATTTGTGGTCGTCTGATTAATTATTATTTTTTTCCTCGAATACGCACGAGTGTGCCTGTCATTGCATTAGAAGGAGCGAAGTATATAGTACAAGAGTGCCGTTATCGGCTAAAGTTTCCACGAGTGGCTACATTTTGAACTAGAACAACCCGGGATCCCTGCATGATCCAACAAAGCTAAGACTCAACCAACAATGCCAGCTTTGTAGCTCCGGCTTCAATCCAACGATCAGCTTCCGCCTTGATAAGTTGGAGAAGCTCGCTCACAGTGGCTGTAGCATCCTGGAAGCACCTGGCATTCCGTTCCTTCCACACCTGCCAAGAGACTGGAGCAAACAGGGAGTCCATGCCTGATCTTCGGTCTCCGTCATGCAGTGATCGCAGGCACCTCCACCAACGCAGTGTCGAGTTTGCTACTTGAGGAAGCGGTTTCTTCCTCAGGGCCTGCAGGATGAAGTACCACAGCTCTCTGGTGAATGGGCAAGTGGCGAGGATGTGGTCGATGGTCTCCCTTTCCTGATCACATAGGTAGCACATCTCTCTTGCTTCCAGCCCATGCCTGGCCCTTTGGTCGCTCGTCCAATGCCTGCGCTTGAAGGCGAGCCACAGAAAGATCTTGATCCTCAATGGAGCCCAAGTCTTCCATATGAGTCTGTGTCCCAAGAAAGGAATCGCAGGAGCATGTAGCATGTTGTATGCAGACTTGGCCAAGTATTTGCCATCTTGAGTCCACCTCCATACTGTCTTGTCCGGTTGCTCGGTCAGATGTATGTTGCTCACCGTGCCCCCAAAGGTGAAGATATTCAGTGAGAGCTTGCAGCGATAAACCTCCAGAGATGCTGCGAACCCATGCTCTGTTGGTGAATCCTTGCCTTACTGTTTGCCGTCTCCTCACTCGGTTAGGCACGAATTGGTATAGGCAAGGTGCTAAATCTGCAACTGATTCACCACTGATCCACCTGTCTTCCCAGAAGCGGGTCTGTGTCCCGTCACCGATGATGATGAAGGTTGACGCTCTGAAGAAGGCCAGCACTTCCGGCGCGGTTTGGATTGGCAGCTTGGACCATGCACGGTCATGGCCTGTTCTCTGCAGCCACAACCACCTGGTCTGTAAGGCATATCCGGCTAGCTTGAGGTCACTGATTCCCAATCCTCCCAGCTGCGTTGGTTTGCAAACCAGTCCCCGCACTGATGCATCAGTCCCCGCCCACAGGAATTTCCTGCAAATGGCATCGATCTCCTTTCGGGCCCACTGTGGCAAGTTCTCGGCCATCATGGCATCGATAGGAACCGAGCGCAGCACGGACTTAATCCAAACCAGCCTGCTGCTTCTTGCCATCAGGGAGCCCTAGCACGGTGGCAATTTCCTTACTACCGCCTCCACCAATGATTGGAAATGCTGCTTTGGTATGGACTTCGTGCTGAGTGGAAGTCCAAGGTACCTGATAGGGAAATCTTGAAGCTGGCAGCCGAGGATGGATGCTATGTCGTCTAAGGCTTCCTGTCCCCCATATATTGGTGTGATGGAGCATTTGGCTAGATTTGTGTTCAGCCCGGATGCCTGACCGAAGACATTCAGAATTGATTAATTATTATCAGAAGACTAATCAAGATTAGTCGAACGACTAGGGGCGGCCAAACGACCAGAAACAGGATGGAATTACTGCTAGCACAGAACATGGGCTGCATCGAAGCTATTTGGGCTCATATCCCCCCCCAATTTACAACTTTTAATGCAGCCCCACTCTAGAATTATCTTCATGCTTGATCTTATATATACTCTAAAATATAATTAGATCTTATGACGACTAGGATCGACTAGATAACTTGGTAGCATTGATGTCGAGCACTGCTCTGTTCTCCTCTGCTTAGCTCAGAGCGCCCAGCCAGAAGTAGGATGCCAGCAGGGTCTAGGCTACGGCGGCCCTCGTCCCCCTTCATGGCCGACGTCGTCGTGGCCGCCATACCCTTGCCGCCGGTGGCTCGTCCTGTAGGCTCCAGCCCAGGTGCTGGTGGTGCTGAGCATCTCCCGCGGGGACAAGACGTGCACGCACGACGCTGTACAGCCCGCATGCCGCATCCAAGTCACCCACCTCGGCGCCCGACCGCTCCCTAGTCCTGATCCCCGGACCCCGGTCCATGGGATGGAACAAAGCTAGAAGATTCACCGGTAGCTCCGCGACGGCCGACTGGCCGCGGCGTGCGCTTAGCCGGCTGAGGCCACACCACACCCGCTTCACCGGCACCGCTGTGCTGCTCAGGCAAGACAACGACATCCTCTGCTCTGCTCATCTGGTTGCTGGATCCTGCTGTGGAGCTTTGTGTATGTTGTGCTATCTTCTGCTCGATCGATCACCACCACCAGCAAGAGCAGCGTCACGATCACCAGGATCGCATCCAACGGTCATTTTAGTACCACAACAAGCAGTGTCGATGCGGGAAGCGATATGGTAAATAATAAAGGGCTAACTGTCATTGCAAACTATAATGAACAACACCGTTTGACGTGTGTTTTGGCCTGTAACAGTGAAGATCAGGAGCACTTTGATGACTGGTTACAAACCTCTGCAGTGTATTTTGGCCTGTAACAAAATGTTCAGGTGTATTGAAGATGACAACAATGCAAAAGCTAATGTTGCAGACTGGTTAGCAAACTTGGTTCTTTTGGATTGCATTGTAACTGTAATCTGAATATCCTATGTCCAGACTGAGTAAAAAAAATGCTAATGGTCCTGGTGAAACTTAATGGCATTCAGACAATCAGCTGTGTGATATGTCCAAATCCTACCGATTCAGAATTCTATGCGTTAACACGTTATAATATGGCAACTAAGATGTCACAGAACATCTAGAATCACTAACAGTTCTGTTTCTGATGAATCTAGCTAGTACTCCAGAAACGCGAGGGCAACAGTTAAACTCTTGACCAAGCATTCTAGATTCAAATGGAGTAGATCGTATGCCAAAATGATGTCATAACTCATAATCAAGATGTATCTAAGGAAGAACAGGACGCCTACCATGATAAATAAGTGTGACCCATTTCGTTGGATGTTCTACATCATCCAGCGTGCTGAGATATAAGGGAATTGACTGGACATACATACAGGCATTGGCAGCCGTCAACTGTCTTTGCTTTTCAAATAAACAGGTCTGCAGAGATGTGCAGTTAACAGCTGAAAACAACAGGATTACAGTATCTCAGTAGGCAACATCTTGTTATTACATAGTAGTACATAACTTTAAATTAAAAATAAAAAGGCAGCCTAAAAAAAGCAAAAATACGAGGATATCGCAGAAACAAATTTCGGAGTCTGCAGTTCACAAATACAGTAGTAAAGTACTGTACTGCATATCACAAGCAAGGTCGTATCAAGAATATGATAGACTATAAGTCAGAGAATGAAAATCTCTCACCACGCACGCATCATAATCAGACAGACAGCCAATTCAGATTCAGCTGCAGGTTGGACTGATACCGCTGCCACTAGCTGTAAGAAGAAATCCGATGCAGAACACAAGCAGGGGGTATTTGTCGGAGCAGAACCAGCACGGTATAAGGGCAATCTGCGTGGCAGGTCGAGACCAGGAGCAGAGTCCTTGCAGGGAGAGTCAGGGCACAGGGCATCTCGCACTAGCAGGCAGCATCAACTGGGAACGGTTTGGATTTCGCTGGAAACAACGCAAGAAAAGAGACGAGCTGTGTAAGCATAAAACATGCATGCTGACAACAAACTACGCTCAAAAATAGATAACTTATGGTGCGCGAGCAGGAGCAGGACTGACCTGTTGTCGGCCGTTGTGATCACTTGGGAGCTCTCTTCGGCGTCATCAGGCTGCGGTTCGGTTGCTTCCACTTCAACACCGGATCTGATGACATCCCCCAGGTCATGGTGGCTCTGGTCCCTCGACAGTCGCAGCACGGGCTTATTGGGGTGTTGGTTGACTTCCGCCTGCAGCATATTAAGTCCTGCCACCTCGCAGAAGTAACCAAGTGAAATCTCCTTGAGACTTGGAAGGTGCTTAATACCAATAATCCCTGACTTTAGCCGGGACTGATCGATATGTATGCTTTCCATGTGGGGCGAGGCGTCCTCCTCAAACCTCATCTTTGTCAATTTATATTCTCGAGAAACAAGTTTCCTGAGACTTGGGAATGCTCCAGTTCTGAATGTTAGTTTCTTCCCAGTATATGCATTACCAATTAGCTGAACGAGCATAAGCTGGGGCAGTGCCCCAAGTATCTGCAGGTCCTTTAGGTAGCTGTGTTGTAAGTAAATCTTCACCAACTGTGTAAGACTCCCAAACCAAGCGGGTGTCACCTGCAGCTTTCCAATCAACTTTAGGCTCCTTAGCAGCGGGGGAGGGGAGAGAGGAGAACCTAGCCACTCAAGTGTTCCCCCATCACCAAAATAAAAATCACTATCCACGTGGACAGAGCGCAGAGAGACAAGCTTCACAAGGGCTTTGCAAAAGGCCGTGCATTTTCCCTTTGCTGCCCCTCTTGTCGTCACGCTTAATTTTCTTAGCTGACTTAGTTCACCCAACTCTTCAATTGCTTTCGTACTAGTGCCCTTGAGATCCACAACCTCTAGGATCTGCAGCACTTTTAGGTTGCCGATTCCTCTTGGCACCCGCACACCTGGTACTCTTGAATAAGAAAAAGGGCTTGAGAAGAACAAGTGTGCCTCAGCAATCATTTTATTGCGGTCTTCAGAATCAACTAGGGGTGTGAACATTATGGGCAGGCGCAATACATTTTTCATGCATATCAATGGCCACCTGGGGTCGAAACTATTTAACACTGTATTTTTGCGACAACGGAGGCTTCGGAGACTCTGGAGTTTAGTGACCTCAGTTGGTAGTCCTGAAATACAACTGCCCCTTAGGTCAAGGACTTGTAAACTCTGTAATTTACCAATAGATCTGGGAAGTGCATAAATATTTGAATGACTCATGATTGGACCACCATACTGAGCATTCATATATTTCAAGTGGTGCAATAATCCTATGTTGTTGATATCATTCTGAGTGATTTTGAATTGTGCATCCTTCAAATCCAAGGTTCTTAACATCCTCAACTCCGGTGAACAAAGTGAAGGTTGGGGCTTCATTGGTCTCTCACCAAAGGAAGTTAATGATCGGACACAGCTCCAATCCACTCCAACATTTGTGCAGCTCTTGCCATGGTATGCCACGTGACGGAATTTCTCTCCAACTACTACTCCAGCTACATTGTCTTCTGTCAAGTAAACAAAATTCTCCTCTCTGGATATCGAGATTATTGTATCACGCACGATATCATGAACACGGCAGCTCTTAACAACTCCTTCGATATTTACTCTTGCTGGTAGAATCATGCTTCGGCTGATTAGATGCTGAAAGTAACTTTCTCCAACTTCCTCAACTGTTACTCGACCCCTGGCAGTAACCAGTCCCTCTGCAATCCACCTATCTACCAGACGCCTCCTTTTAATTTCAAAGTCCTCAGGAAAAATGCTTAGGTATAGAAAGCATGGCTTGAGATGGGATGGCAAATGACTGTAGCTAAGAGTTACTATCCTTCGCACAGGTTCGAGGCTTGGGTTGTTCTCAAGCTCCGAATGGAGTTGGTTATAAAATTTCCCCCACTCCTCTATCTTCTTACTGGCAAGGATGCCTCCTACTGTGAGAATAGCCAGTGGTAAACAACCACATTTTTCTACCAGATGTGTTACTGTGTCCCTCAAATTCTTATTGTTTTCTAGGTCTTTGTGATGCTTCCGTGCCTTCCTTAGTAGCAATTGTATGGCATCATCTACCTCTAGGGGTTTGAGATGGTAGACAAAGGATTCATCGGAAGTGCATCCATTTGCTATATCAGCATCACGTGTGGTTACTATGATCCGACTGCCTTTGTTATTTGTGCTTGGAAAAGCAATACCGTGAATCCAGTTCCATGCTTCAATGCTCCACAAGTCATCAAGAACAACAAAGTACCTTCTATCCTTTAGCTCCCGTGTGAGGTAGCTTGCAAGGTCATTGATTTGCAATCCCTTCCCTTCAAGTTCTTTCAAACAGTTCTTCAACGATTCTTCACCCAGCAGTTGCCTAATCATATTTTGGAGGAGCTCTTTCTTCACAAATGATTGTGATACAGTGATCCATGCACAACAAGAGAAGTTATTTGCAATGTCTTCCTTGCTTTCATATATCTTCCTGGCAAGAGTAGTTTTACCCAAACCGCCCATGCCGACCACAGAGATAACACGTGCTTGTCCATCATTGGCACGAACTTCTTGTACCTTTTTAAGCACATCCTGCTTTGGTTTGTCAAAGCCAACAAGCTGTGCTTCATCAATGTTGGTCACAGAATGGTTGCGAATATCTTCCAAGTAGGACTCTGTCTCATCCATGGTGTTGGATGCCTCTGTCTTGATTAAGTTGTAGCGTGTGTTCCTCTTGCTCACTTCTTCAACTCTTGCCCTGAGATTGCGAATCTGGACAGCAATCCGGTGGCGGTCTTTGAGCTTCATCATCTGTTGTGATAGGCTTTTGCTCCCGACATGTACCTTGAACTCGTCAAGGCAATCTTCAATGTCATATGACAGATCTCGTACTTGCTTTGCCCAGACCTTCACCAGTTTATCTTTTTTCTTGGTTACTTCAGGGGCTACCAAAAACGCTTGCATAGTTTCTAGTTCATCTTTCATGAACCTGCCGGTCAAATTAGGTTCAAGAAGAAATGTATCATTTTCCAACTTTTGGAACTGTCACAACTTTTATATTACACTTAAAAATACATATTGATCACTCGGAACAATTGCACAGGAACTGATTCGAGCGACTAGATGAAAACGTCGCTGCTGCTCGTGCGTTTCTGCATGCATGCGCCGGACCAGAGCTAGCTTGAGCAAGGGAACCTTGCTTGCCGCCCAAATGGCATGCATGGCCATGGGGCAAGCTAAGGAAAAGTTTGCTGCTTGCTATTAGGACGAGACGACGAGTGAACTAGCTAGCTAGCTTGCCAGAGGAGAGCAAAGCAAAGCTGTAGAGCCTGTTTGGAGAGGCTCCGGCAGCTCCGGCTCTGGCAACTGCAGCATCACTGTGGAGGAGCCGCCCGAGCCTCTAAATCACAGCTCCTCCGGCTCTGTTGGTTTCACAGTGCAATTTCGAGAGAGACGGAGCCCGGAGCCGCTACAGTCACCAACAGTGTTTAACAGGACCGAGGCATGAGGAGCCGGAGCCTCTGGAGCCACGCCCAACACTGCCTTATTTTGATTGCCTACTAATGCAAACTACAGTAGGTACTAGCCTCGCTCGCTAACACGCCCAATTTCTTCATTCAACCTAAGGAACAACTTAGCTATAGCTAGTGAAAGCCTGAAAGGTATATTAGAGCATCTCTGAGAGACTCTCCATATTCTTCCTACATATTAGGAATAGAGATTTTGATAAAAAACTACCCTCCAACAGCTTTTCTAAATGGTCATACAAATATAGCTATTTTCTATTCCAGATTTTTCGTTAGCCAAAAATAGAAGATGAGAATGGCTCTATAGAGTGTGCATGAGATATAGAAAAATTGTTGGAGAGTGAAAAGATATAGAAAACGATTTTTATACAAATGACTCTCTAAATGATGATTTAGAGAATGAGATTTAGAAAGGCTCTTGGACATGCTCTTAGTCGATCGAGAGTAACTAACGGATCGGAGACGAAGACGGATGGATCGTACATACGTACCAGATCTCCTTCTGCACCCCCATGAGCAGGCTCATCTCTTCCGAGGCAGCCGCGGCGGCCTTGCTGACGGCGCTCCCCAGCATGGACCTGGCCATGCTCAGCACCGTCTCCGCCATCTCGCTCGATCTCGCCGGCCTCTTTCTGCTCTCTCTCTCTACCAGCTGATGACTAGTAGAGGATCGGAAGAAGCTCACAACAGTGAGGGAAGCTCGGAACACTGTGAGTCTGGGACTGGGAGATATGCACAAGAACAAAAGAACAAGTCTTGGTGGGCCGGTTTACTTTAGTAAAGCAGATGCAAAGCACGTACAAGAACAAAAGAACAAGTCTTGGTGGGTTTACTTTAGTAAAGCAGATGCAAAGCACGTCCAATAATTGCCGATGCATGGGCCCGTTCTGTCTCCCACAGACCCGCGCCAATCATGCATATGGTTCTGCAACCGCTGCCTCTGAAGCAAAACAGGATGTTTTCATTTCTTTTCAAAAAAGAAAGAAAGAAAAGAAGCCTAAGGATTGGCGCGCGCCAGAGTTTTCAACTGACTATCATAGAGTAGCTACTACACACACTGGGTCTTAACACAAGGAACAAAACACGTTTCTTCTGCTTCACATTTCTATGTAGAATAATACTCCCTCCATTTCAAATTATAAGGTGTTTTCTTCTATAGTTCTACTCCATAATTCTTTCCACTCGAGAGACCAAGGGGTTGCCTATGCCAGGCAAGGAACCAGCTAGGCATCGATCTCAACCCAGCTAGGTGGCTAAATCAGATGCCTCAAGAGCCTCCCTGGGCCAAGCAACCTTGCCTAGATAGGAAACCAAGCAAGCCCCAAGAAACAGATGGAATTATGCTCGATCCTAGGACAAATGCTTTAATTTGGTTCACCTTCACCCAATGTCCAGTTGACATGAATTGATGCCTGCTCTCACACGCTTCTGCTGTTTTTTTTTCACATGCATGTTCATAGATGCACCTTTACACGAGATGCCCCAACTCAGTGAAGAGTGCGTCCCACTCCCACCCACAGGATGCCAAGAGAAGGGGTAAAAAATTCCATGGGACCATCTGCATCTGGCACGGTGCCGACGTAGAACCAAATCACAACACATGGCAAGAGAGTTCGGAACCAACGCTAGAAAGCCAAGGCAGCAGGTTAGATCAAAAAGTCACAAGTCAGCAATTGGGTGGACATCCGCACGCTGTAGGGTGCGGACAGTCCCCATGATTTTTTTTCCAGAGAAGAAACCTGTTGGACCAAGGGACCCCAACATGCATGAGCCACGCGCCCAATGGCCTAAGGGCACCCACAGTTGTTGGAAAACTCGCCCAGCCGATTGCTCTGGACGAAGGTAAGAGAAGAGGAATGTGGGCCCAAACTCAATTAGGGTTCCACAAATGTACTCACCAACCAAAAACTTTGCACAGGACACCTTACCCTTTTATACGGGTGCCACTTGCTAATTTCGTACATTACAATCTTTCTCTGTAACCACTCAAGCATATTGCTGAGATATTCCTACACTAGTTCTAACCCTCAGGGTGCTCTCTGACTTTGTTCTCCTACACCGCCTGTGCTCCTTGGGCCACGATTTCAGGCCCATCAAGGGCCCATCTCCAGTTTTTGGGCCGTACTGTCTCGGCCTGTCTTCCGCACAACCACGTTCTTTGCTCAGGGCGCAGGTGCCTCCGTCCTTTGCTTTGGGACCTCCGCCTTTGATTTCCTGCCGCCCCTATGTGGGCCCATGGGCAGGCCTTCGCCCATCCCGTCGGTTGCAGGCGGAGGCCTCGCCGTGCCCGGCGAAGGCTCTGTGGGATCGCCTTCCGGGTCCCCCCGCGTGGGCCTCCGCCTTTGCCTCCCGGGTCTCCGCTTCGTCCTAGCCTTTGAGCAAAGGCTCTCTATCGGGTGCTCCTGCAAAACATCCAAAGACGATCCGAGGTTGTTGAGCGATGTTAGCCTTAGCCTCCATGAATCCGTGTTCTAGTGTCCCAACAACAGTGGTGGGTTGACTCATTGTGGAGAGAGAGAGAGAGAGTGCCACCTCATCACATAGATCGAGTCGACTTTTTGGAAAATAGTACCATGGGGCCTGCATATAATGTAGAAAAAATGAACCCTCAATTCATGCGGCCTCTAATCCGTCATGCATGCCATTGTGGGACCCACGACCAAAGTTGTTTTCTCTGCTACGAAGTGGAGCACTCGTTCTGTACATGAATATTTTAACAGCGACGAGTCGACTCCTTATCTTGAGTCGATTCTTTCTCTCTCTCCTGCTTGAGTCGGCTTTCTCTAGTCGTTTGAGTTGACTCACAAAGGTCTAGCAAGGATGATGAGTCGGTTTGGAGAAGCCCTAAACACTATAGTGCTTCATGAACAGAGAAAGGAAAGAAACCACGGGTCGGAATCGGGCACGTTGTTGGAGTTGGACACACGACGACACGCGTCGTCAACGTCTGGTCTCTGAACGAATCGGACGAGCAGGGAGGGCGTGGCATTCTTGGCCTTGGAGAGCAAGCATGCAGCTTCAGTTCAGTGCTAGCTTGAGCTTCATTCACTCCACGCGACTTTGATATTATTGTTGTCTATATATATAATATCAGAACCAGGCTCTGGAGATGCAAAACTATACAGGCGCTCTTGACGATGATTCTTACCTGTTTGGTTTAAGGAGTAATGACATCCCGAATGAGTCCATGCGGAACGAGGTGGTCGATGAGAGATGGGTTGAACCCATGACAGAAACCAAACGCTGTGGCTAGCTTCCTATCTAGGATCGGATCACTCCGCATCGGTGCATTCTCTAAACCAACACGCTAGGAACGTAAATTAACATAGGCATGGATGACTTCATGCAAAACTATGTTCTATAACGGAGAGCGTCATAATCCTTGCAGCCATTAAAAATGGGTAACTATACAGTAGTACTGTTGCTTTTCCTCTAAGTTGTCACGTCATTTCAAAATAATATTATTCGTAATTGTACCTACATTACTTCTTTTTTTAGGGAATATTACACTCTTTTTTTTTGCAACCGAAACTGACTGATCTTTGCCATCTATCATTGACCTTAAATTCACTCCTAAACTTTTGCATCAACGAGCGGGAAATTCACCTACTTCGTCCCAAAACAGAGGTTGCAACTTCCTTTGCTGGGACACCAATTCAAGGAATGAACGGATTTCTGATTGCCCTAAGGACAGACGCTACGGTTCGCCCAATGTCCAGTTTACCGCGCATCAACACTTGTTTTTGTTGTCCTTCACGCGCGTGTTCCAGATGATGTTCCGTGCATGTCCACCATTGCTTTGTTCTTCTCTTGTTAGCTCAGAGCGCGGAGCAGTAGGATGCCAACCGGGTCCAGGCGACGGCGGCCCTCATCCTCATCCTGGCCCGCGTGGTCGCCGCCGCCGCGCTCTTGCCGCCGGTATCTTGTCCTCCAGCCGTAGTTCTGATGTTGCTGAGCATCTCCCACGGCGACATGACGTGCACGCGCACACCTCCTTCCGCAACCTTCTAAGGCCCTGCAACGTGCGTGCACCGAGCACGCCCGCATGCCGCATCCATGTCACCCGCCTCGGCACCCGACCGCTTCTGAGTCCTGATGCCGGTCCATGCGAAGGAAAATAGCCACCGCCCACCGGTGGTTTTGCGGAGGCCGAGGTGTGCGCTGAGGCCGCGCCACCCGCTCCACTGGCACTGCTGTGTGGCTCAGGCACGACATCCTCTGTTCTCTAGTTGCTATCCTCCGCCGATCGATCACTACCACCAGCAAGAACGGCGTCACGAATCACGATCACCAGGATCGCTGTCAGCCTCTCGACCCGAGGAATTGCTGAATTCAACGGCCATTTTAGAACACGTTCCTTGCGGGAGAGCTGCACTAAACGCCCTCGAGTGGAGAAGCGCTTCTTGACCAGCAAAACACGGAGCCGGAGCCGTTTTCGTGTATGGATACAGAGATGAGAAAACTGACTCCGCCCAAGGGTTCCGGCTCTGGCTGTTAAGCGCGCGTGGAGGTGCGCTGCCAAACGCGTTAGTTGAGCTAATTGTCAACGAAACCGCGTTCTGCTCACTAAAATTATTTTCTTATGTATCATGAAAAAAAGGAAACGTCGTATTCGTGTATCATTAATTACCACAGTCCCGTCGCCAGCTGCAGTCTGTATACTAGTTTTTCTTTTTCCAATTTCTCTGTGTGCTCAAACAAAAAATTCCCACCACGAACAAAAAATTCAGACTTCTAGAGCGAAGACCCGGCTGGAGGCCGGTCCTCCACAGGGATTCTCCCCGAGCAAGGAAATTACAAGCTTCGCAGCAATCACCTGCCAGCAAAGCATAATAACGGCCTCATACCAGTCAAAGGTAGCTCAGCATACAAATCGGCCTCCCTATCGCCACCGGCTGCCAACAGCGCGCCGCGGCCGTGCGCAGCACCAGTCAACACAACCAAACACCAACGCCACCAAGCCGGCGGAGACGTACCTACAATGGCACCACCGCGCCGCGTGTACCCGCGCGACCGCGCCTACTTCTTCCTGCTGCTCGCGCTGCTTCTCTTCTGCCCTGTGCGCCGAAGAGCGGCTGCGCAGTCCCAGCCGGCGGATGAGGCGCAGCTGCTGCTCTAGATCAAGAGCGCGTGGGGCAACCCGCCAGTGCTCGCGCGATGGAAGAACGCCTCATCCCCGGGCGCGCCATGCACCTGGACATTCGTTGGGTGCCACACGGCCGGGCGCGTCACCAACCTCACGCTCGGTAGCGCCGGCGTGGCGGGCCCCTTCCCGGACGCCGTCGGCGGCTTCTCGGCCCTGACCTACCTCGACGTCTCCAACAACAGCATCTCCGGCGTGTTTCCGACCACGCTCTACTGCTGCACTTCGCTCCGGTACCTCGACCTATCCCAAAACAACTTCACTGGTAAGCTGCCCGCGGACATCGGCCGCCTAGGGGAGAACCTGACCACGCTGCTCCTATACGGGAACGGATTCAACGGCAACATCCCGGCGAGTCTCGGCGCGCTGACAAGGCTTCGGACCCTGTGGCCAAGGTTTTCATTTTCGGAAATTAAAATTTATCGGGGTCACAGATAAAAAGGATAAACAGGATATATCGGAAA